CACAACTTAATGACTAAACAACAACACAGTCCTCCTGTCTTATCTGGGCCTAGGAAGGGATTAATCCATTCCTCAATACCTCCTTCCCATAGACTGAGAGCTGAAAGTTTTAATTCACAGCAACAATGAAAATGAACACAGAGCATAGGCAGTCTAGCTGCTCATGTGCTGGTTATGAGTGACAAAGGTTCAGTTCCTATTTACTGTACATTGATACAGCCCTCAAACAAGCTCACACAGAATGAAAACCAGAAAACAACATTACTGAAGTAATATAGGTCTACATTATAATCAACATAGGTCTAGAGAGTCTTGCTCATTGGTGATTGTTCGGGATCAGTATTCTCTTTTGGTTGAGATTCCATGTGTGAGAGAAATCAGGCCATCCACATAGTAGTATATTTGAAATTCTATATTAAAAACTGTTTGGCGGAGAGGACCAGAGACTGGGGGGAGGAGTCGGGAGATTGGAGATGGGACGAGGTTATAAAGGAGGAGAGAGGAGAGAGAGGGGGAGAAGGAGAAAAGGAAGAGAAGAGCACCCAAACGATAGAGACAGGAGCAGAGAGGGAGAAAATTGCAACTCTAGTTAGGAACTTCCCGAACCTAATGAAGGAAGACGGCCTGTTGCCATTGCCGAAAGAGTTGAGCAAAGCCGGAGCTTGTGAGTCCACAAAGGGATGGAAACCGGGAGTGGGTATGGCTTCTCGCCCTATGATGGACAGGGAAACCCGTGGTGGAGTCAGCCCTTTCCTGCCCAGGCTGGAGGGGTCGATCGTGGTCCATCCTTGTTGCAGGACTTCCTGCTCAGTTCTGACTGCGTCGGTCGCGAGTCCGAACGCAATCACTCATTTTGGGGGGAAGAAACAGTAAGAAACAAAGATGTAGCGCCTGGGGCAAAACCCAAGAGGTATAACTTGTTGACTGATGAAGAGTTACCGGACCCGTTTGGTCCAGAGTTACCTGATGGAAAAGTTAATAAAACCAATCCGTTTTTGACCGTTACATCGACTCCTGCAATTATTCCCGCCGAATCCCTTGGTCCGCCTTCTTCAGGAAAAGGACCCAATCACAAACAAATAAAGAAACAAAGAAGAATCTTACCGAGCATTCAGATGCTCTTGGCACTGCCTCACTTTTCCACTGCGGGGATGGCCGCTTTCTATTAGGCTAAAGGCAGCTCGGTTGACTCCTTCAATCTGAGAAGCCAGATTGTTCATCTCCTGCTCCAAAATATCAAACCTGTAATCCAACATATTTAATTCAATTCCATTAAAAGCCCATCACATCCCAAAGATTTACAGCAGGCAATAAGAAATAAGAAATATGTAAAATTCACAATTAATTAAAAACATACCAATTAAAATGTAAAACTGTAAGATGTACATATTTTAAAATATTATTTGGAAACCATAAATCAGTTGTATACTGACTCTCCAAAACCCGCTCAAAAGAGGTCAGTTTTCACTTCTTCTCCTAATTATAAAATCCTGATTCTTTGGTTCATCCAGTAGTAACTTGTTCTTTTATACTCTCATACATCATATTTAAAAGCACAGATCTAGGAATTCAAGTATGCCAAAATAATTAGGCAACTGTACCATAAATGGACTCTACTTCCTGAAATCACATGCCATAATAAAAATGTTTATACTGTCACATACCATAGGATATGTGTCCCACTTACCTATGTCACACTCTTTTCATTTATACAACTCACTAAGTTAGAATTAAGGTTTCATAATGAGACCTCCATCACATATGGCCCAGGTACCAGCTTTACTCATTTACCTGTGCTGCACAACATCCAAATCTTCCAGAGTATCAGGAATCTCCATTTGCTCCAACCACTTCTCCTTCTCACTCATCCAAAGCTCACATGCATCAGTCTCACTGAAAACTGTGTACAGATCCAGGGCATCTTGTAGCTTCTGTCTGCGCAGATCTGCTAAAGACACAACTTCACTGTACATTGCCTGGATGGCCTTCAGTGTATCCTCGAATCCTGGAGAGTCCCGGAATTCTGTGGGAAAGCTCTGTGCTTGCCTGTTCAAATTGTCTATCACTTTCTTGTTGGCTGCTACTTCATCTAAGAGGTCCCTGTGCTTTTTTACCAGGGCTAGAGTGGAATACTCATCATGCCCCACATCATCGCTGGACACCAGGCGATTGGCATCCTGGAGCCAGGCCATCAAGTCATTTCCATCCACCTGGAACTGAAAGAAGCTCTCAGCGTCTTGCAAGTTCTTCTTGCGGAAAGCAGCTAGTTCCTGTAGCTGAGCCCAGAGGGCTTTCACATCCTTAATTCTATTGCATATTTTAGGTGCTTCAAAGTGTTTTTGAGCAATCATGGTTTCTCCCTCTGTGATTGTTTGCTGCAGGTGGGTTCCCAAGCCACGAAGCTCATCCTCAAATGCCTTATGTTTCCTCTGCAAGATGAGAATGCTGGTCAGGTCCTTCCCATAATCCAAGGCAGAATATATATGCTCTTTCTCCTTAATCCAGCTTTCAGCTTCATCCAGTTCCCAAAAGAACTTTTCAAGGCGCTTGGACTGTTCCAGGCAAGCTTTCCTGTGTGCAGCCAATGCCACTAATTCTTGCTGGCGCAGCTGAAGGTGATTTACTCTATCTCGTATCACCTGTGGATCACATGGCTGATAACCTACACAAATGTAGACAAAAAATTAGAGTCAATCAGATAAGGTACATAATACCTTTTCCTTCAGAGCAGACAAAAAAGGACACAGTATGTCTGAGACATTTTCTGGTGACTTAAAAACACTAGGTATAATCTACTAAAAAGATTGGAAACAGCTTCCCGATGAGAAGGAGGACATACAGAGTGATAATTATATTTGCATTTGGCACTTCATTGTAGGTTTTTAAAATGAAAGATGATGGGTTTTGCAACACTGGAGAGCAGTAATCCACACCAGTCAAAGAATAACAAGAAACAAAAGAATGAATATTTTACAAAATGATGGAGCACTGATCTGAGGGGAGTAAGTAGTTTTGTTGCTCTTCCCAGTGGAAAAAAAAACCTAAAAGACTATATGGGTGTCCCCATTCTTTAGTGGTAAGTTAGAAAAGCATCCAGTCTAAAAATAATTCAAGAAAATCACTGTCATTATTGTTGTTATTAAGACCATGGGGACAAGAGATTGGGAGCTTTGTCATGCTTCCTCTCTGATAGTCCAAGAGCAACACAGGAAGTACCTGGTTTACGTGCACATAACTACATTCTAGACAGCTCCCTAAACTGCACCAGAAGAGGAGAAAATTGAATTTCTCTGGAGCACAAAATGTTTGTTTGTGTGCTGAAAATGTAATATCTTTCCCATAGACAAACACACGAAAGAGCACATCCTTGAGAGATGACTGAATGTTACACAACAAATGAGCAACAACTGAAAATGAAACACAGACAAAAGAAATGTCTTCTGGGCAAACATCCTACCATCTCCACTGGCAAATTTAAGGGCATCTGCAATGACAGCATGGATCTTCTCAGCCTGGATGGCCATATCAGCCTCCATCAACTTATGCTTCTGAAGAAGATCTTCCACTTCCAACAGGTGTTTCCCAAATTCAGGAGATGAGAGTTTTACCTAGAAAAAAATGCAAAAAGAAAATGTACCCTTTTATGTGTACTCCCTCTTAAGCAAAATATACAATGGCCAACTGCCTGACATGGAGCCCTCATGGCAGAGTTTGTTAGTTTTTAAACTGGGGTTGATGGCTTTAGAATGAGTTGATTTTAAGCAGCAAAGGAACAGCAGATAGGCAAATATTCCCATCTTCAAACTGCCACATACATTCCCCCTGCCCCCATGAGCATCATAATGCTAAATTCTGAACCCTGGACTGAGTTTTTTTATAAGCAAACCATTGTCAGAAATATGTTGGATATACTGTATCTGTGCATAATATTTAGTTAGACCTATAATTTCAACCAAAGATTTGTTATTTTTCCAGAGGATTGCAACTAAGGGACTCTTAACTTGCTCCCTCTTTAAATAGATTAAACGTGTCAGAAGAGGTATGTTGTATCTGAATAATGATGGGAATGGATGAACACTTCAACAGAATAGCTCCTAATCCATATATACAAGTTATACTAATACTTGTGCCACAATTCAAAATCAAGGATTCAGATGAGCCCTAAACTGGCTATTACTGTTTTGAATAATAAACACTATAATGAAACAGAGGGTGTAGAATGTAACAATGGCTATTTGCAATCTAGCAAACTTCCCCTTTCTTCTCATTGCTCCACTCATAATCATTTTTAGCCACATCAGAAAGCAGAAAGAAGCAAATTCAATTCAGGAACTTTCTAAGCAGCCTCTGAAGATATAGAAAGTGTGATTGCGTACAAAACAAATAAAAATGCTGTCTCACATTGCACGCAACAGTAAGAATCTGCTTATGTTTACCTGTACATCCATTAGGAACTCACAGTATAATAATATTTTTTAAAAACTCAAATATGGAATCATCATCATCATCATCATCATCAAAGTACAGTGGTGACCCGCTGGACGATTACCCCGCTTGACAAATCCGCTTAACATTGAAGTTTTTGTGATCGCAAAATGATGTTTAGATGGGGGAATTTCGCTTAACGTTGATCGGTTCCCTGTTTCAGGAACTGATTTTTTGCTTTACGACAATCAGCAAACAGCTGATTGTCAGGTTTCAAAATGGCCACCCGCTGTAGAAAATGGCTCCCCACTGTGTTAGGGATGGATTCCTCGCATTACAGGCACCAGAAAATGGCTGCCGAATGGAGGATCTTTGTTGAACGAGCAGGTTTTTCGCCTATTGGAATGCATTGAACGGTTTTCAATGCGTTTCAATGGTTTTTATTTCGCTTGATGACGTTTTTGCTCTACAGCGATTTCTCTGGAACGAATTAACGTCATCAAGCGAAGCACCACTGTATCGTATTCTTAATCACCTGCTGAGGAGCAGATAAGCAAGATTAGTGCTGCTGGTGCTGGTTGTTGAGAGGTTTGAATGTTTTGATACTTATTTCTAATCATTTTTATTGTATAGGGTTTTAAAGGGTACTTTAGGTAAGTCAGCATGGGAGTTTCTGGGAAAGGGGATAATACGAAGTTACCAATTATTTATTTATTTAAAATATTTATTCCACCTTTCTCCTTAAAAAAGGATGCTTATCAACAAATATGTTAAAATAATGTAGCACTTTGACTTCATGAGAGAAAAGTATCCATAACAATCTCTACACCTATTTCTAATAAACTACTGTATAGAGTTCCCCTTAAGGCCTTTCTTACTTCCATATCATCTATCCAGTTAATAAGATGCAGCATATCTTGGAACCGCTGCTGTAGTGTAAGATGCATCTCCAGCTTTCTGCGCCGAGCCTGAAGCCGCTCTAGAAGGTACTCCCAGAGCCTCAGGATGTTGTTCTTGCGAGCAATAATGCGCTTAATGTCATGGTAATTCTCCATCTCCAACTCCTTTGCCACCTCCTCTATAGCTTGGATGCGTTCCTTGTAGGCAGCTGTGTCAGTTTCAATAGCTTCATGCTTCTTCTTTGCTGCCTCTACAGCTGGCAAGTCATTTCCAAAGTTATCCTGCCCAAAGTAAACAAGGTTTTGGTCAGCAACAGCAGCCCTGACTGATTTTTTTTATAATGCATGCTTTACAGTAGAGGGGCATGTGTAAAGAACAAACAAAAAGGATCTCAGCATCATTTTAAGTAATTGACAGAATGTCAATTTTTCATTGTGTGTTTTGAAAACTATATCAGGTACTTTAACGCTATCAGTTCAAAATACTCAGAGCCACACTATAGTTGCTTCACACCTGCCTACATGGCGGCTTTACAGCATGGCAGCCTTCTGCAGCTTGTGAATGCATCATTAAGCACTGCATTTCCCTGGGTTTCTAGTATTTTAAGACAGTGAATCCATGTTACCATGTGATAAAGTCCATTCTGCATTCTACCACTGTACTTGGTCGTGTGTATTGATTGATTGATTGATTTAAAATATATTTTACATGCAGAAGATTTCAAAGATACTGAACTACCCATGCCCCAAACCACCAACATCTGCTTTTCTTAATTGCCACCAGGCAGATCAAAGACTGAATCCATCAAGCCACAAAAGGTTCCACGTTACCTGTTCAATAAGGCGCTGGTTTTCACTAAGCCATGTCTCCCGCATTGCTGCCTTGCGATCAAAACGTCGGGCGAGTTGCTCTAGCTTCTCCTGCCTAATAAGCTCATTTCTCAGTGCCAGCTCTCGCTCATGCTCTGCCTTTTCCAACTTCTCCCAAGCCTGTGGAAATGTGTCCCAAAGAAGAATAAAAACACAATAGATACTATAGAATGCAATATATCTCTATATGGTTCATGCTACAAAATATATCGGGTACACTGACCCAGCCTCACATCAACCAATTTTCCTGGCCCAAACAGTATCTCTCTATCTACTTGTATTTCTCATCTTTTAAGTGACAGAGAAGTACTGCAGCACAACCCATAAAACACCTTTTTTTTCTTTTGCATATGTAACCCCTGTGAATGGAACACTAACAGATGGCAATCTGTTATGTCAGGATATGGGTTTTGTAGTACTCATTTTTCTGAGTTTCACAGGTACCGAAGACTCCAGCCTGAGAACAGTTTATTGTTTTGTCTTCCCAGGGAGTACACTTCAAGGCTGCATCTCAAGAATGATAACCCCATCCTAATTGCTTACCAGCCTGGGAATGGGAGCATTCCTTACATGTTAATTGTTACAGTCACAACAAGCCCTTGTGCCAATTATGAAATATACTCATGACAAGCTCATTCATATCTTATGGAAGCACATACTGCTAACATGGATAGGAAAAGTACTGTATGAACTAGCAGTGACAAGTTAGCTGGAAAATGTACTCAATTTGTACTAGGGGACAGGTTCCTTGAACACTGGAATATGTGCTAGTCAGTCCGTCTGTCACTATGACATTCTTTCTTCAGCCTATTGTTATATATATTCATTGGTTTTAGCTTTAAATGCTGTCTTTTAATGATGAACTGCATCTGAGAGTGCTGAAGGAACTGGCTGAAAAACTCTCAGAACTGCTGTCCATTGTTTTCTTGAAATCATGGGAAACAGGTGAGGTGCCAGAGGATTGGAGGAGGGCCAATGTTGTCCTTATCTTCAAAAAGGGCAAAAAAGAGGAACCTGGGAACTACAGACCAGTCAGCCTGACATCAATTCCAGACACAATTCTGGAACAGATCCTAAAGCGGTCATTGTACAAGCACCTAGAAAACACATAGAAAACAATGCAGTAATAACTAGAAGCCAACACGGATTTGTCAAGAACAAATCCTGCCAAACTAATTTGATCTCATTTTTTTTATCAGGTCACCTCCCTGATAGACAGAGAGAATGCTGTAGATGTAGTATCTCTTGACTTCAGCAAAGCTTCTGACAAAGTGCCCCATTATATCTGATTAGTAAGCTAACTAGCTGTGGGCTGGATAGATCAAGTGTCAGGTGGATACACAGTTGGCTACCGAATTGTTCTCAGAGGGTGATGATTAATGGGTCCTTCTCTAACTGGGTGCTCTTCAATATTTTTATTAATGACTTGGATAACGGAGTACAGGGAATGCTTGTCAAATTTGCAGATAATACAAAATTGGGCAGAATAGCTAATACCCTAGAACAGGCTTGTCCAACCCGTGGCCCGAGGGCCGCATGCAGCCCAGGTCAGCTCATAATGCAGCCCAGTGCAATTTTTTATTTTTAAAGAAATTCCAAAGTTTCAAGTTACACTGCCAGCGCTTGCGGCCGGAATGTGGCCGGGGCATGTCACAACAGTAGAGGGGGAAAGAGGGAAGGAAAGAAGAAGTGGGAGGGGAGGGGACAGGGGGGCTGCGTGACTGCATTGCGCTGTCCCCGTCAATAGGTGGACCCCCTCCTGGCCCCATAAAGCCACCAGAGTAAAA